ACAAAGGCAATGAAATCCATGAAGTCTGGAAAGGCAGCAGGCATAGATGGAATTCAAGCTGAACTACTGAAAGCTGACATCAACACAGCAACAGTCATACTACATGATCTCTTCAAAGACATATGGGAAGAAAATAAAATACCTGAAGACTGGGCAAAAGGTCTTATCGTTAAACTAACGAAGAAAGGTGATCTTGGGATTTGTGACAACTGGAGAGGTATAACATTACTCTCAATTCCAAGTAAAGTGTTTTGCAGAATACTGTTAAACAGGATAGACTCCGAACTGGATGACAGGTTAAGACAGGAACAAGCTGGGTTTAGGAAAGGGAAAGGATGTATTGATCAGATCTTTGCTCTAAGGAACATCATTGAGCAGTGTATGGAATGGAAGACACCTCTATATATCAACTTTATTGATTTCAAGAAAGCATTCGACAGTTTAGATAGAGAGACTCTTTGGACAAACCTTATATCATATGGAGTACCACACAAGATCGTAACACTGATAAAATGCTTTTATACAAACTGTGAATGTGCTGTGATACTTAACAACAAGGAAACTGACTGGTTTGAAGTAAAATCTGGAGTACGACAGGGCTGCATCATCTCACCCATCTTATTCCTGGTTGCCATTGACTGGGTGATGCGGAAGACCACCAGTGACAAAAAAAAGAGGCATCACATGGTCAATGTTTACAACCCTAGAGGACCTAAACTTTGCTGATGATATACCACTCCTTTCATCAAACCAAGACAATATGCAGGAAAAGACAAATCGGCTCAGCCATTTTGCAAGCCAAATTGGACTTGAAATGAACGCAAAAAAGACTCAAGAAATGCGACTTAACACAACATCAAACTTAAGACTAAAAGCTGAGGGCACAGAAATCCAACAGGTAGATAAATTTACTTATCTAGGAACTGTGGTTAGTACAGAAGATCCAACACAAAAAGATATTAAAAGTAGGCTAGCCAAGGCAAGATCTGCATTTCAAAGACTACGACCCATTTGGAAGTCCAAACAATACAACAGGAAAACAAAGATAAGGCTATATAACAGTACTGTTAAATCTACCCTTCTGTATGGAAGTGAATGCTGGAGATTAACGAAAACAGATATGAGATCGCTCTCAAGTTTCCACCACAATTGTCAGAGGCGAATCTGCAAAATCTTCTGGCCAAACCGTATTTCAAATGAAATCTCCTTGAAATGACTAAGTCCTCATGTATTCTGAAAGAAATTCGACAGAGGCGCTTCAGATGGCTGGGGCATGTTCTTAGGATGCCTGTATCCAATATCACCAGGATAGCTCTTAGATGGACGGCCCAGGGGGAGAGACCAAGAGGAAGACCCAAAACCACCTGGCGTCGAACGATTGAAGCAGAACTGAAGGAGCTTGACATGACCTGGGGAGAAGCCGAAACAAAGGCTAAAGACAGAGTTGGATGGCGAAATCTTGTGGCGACCTTATGCTCCGCCAGGAGCGAAGAGGATAGGTAGGTAGGTAGGTAATGTGTGAACAAGACAAACAGACATAATAGGTAACAAGAATGCGTCCAAAGTACACGGATGCCCCACACGCACTATCATTTTCTATGTTCAGTGGACCGTGAATCTGGAGTCAAACTCCAATTTGGCATTACAATTAGAAAGATCATATCATAGGGAACATGTGTACTAAGTTTCAAGTTGATTGGACTTCCAACTTCATCAAAAACTACCTTGACCAAAAACTTTAACCTGAAGCGGGACAGACGGACAAACGGACGAACGGACGAACGAACGAACGGACGCACAGACCGAAAAACATAATGCCCCTAGGTGGGGCATAAAAATTTCAAAAGTAGGGGTACAGCAGTCAACATTGTGTTATAATCTCAATCACTATAAAAACAAACAAATATGTCAACAAAGAAAAACAAAATGGCATATAGACAAAGGACATACGCAACATTGAAACACAAGAATACAAAAAATGACAACAGCACAACAACACAATGGCGGGATGTACAAGTACCGAGCCACGTCTAAAGGATATAACTTTTTGCTCAGACACTGGTGACGTTTTACAAAGTCTGAGTACCAGCTGCAAGCTCTTGAATACCGAATGAGTTGGAAAATGTATATCCCATATGCAGATGAAGTTGGTATATTGCTACTAAGGTGGGGGAAATTGATAATTTCAAAATTAAAATCGTCTTGTTTGTCATAGATTCTGGTACTGAGATGACCGCTAATGTCAAATTCAAGGTATAAGTCTAAAAATGAGGCGGAGGAAGCCGTGTCTGTTGCTTCTTTAATTTTTAGTTCTTGAGGATATATTAATGGAACCCAATCAGAAAAGTTAGGATTGTTTATGGAAAAAACATCATCAATTTATCTGAATGTGAAATTTATAAATGATCTGGCTTCTTTGATCTTCTTGTTTTTGACAAGTGTCTGAAGGAACTCCGACTCATAGAAAATAAGAAGAGGTCGGCAAGGAGAGGCGCACAGTTCGTTCCGATATGAATGCCCACAATTTGTTGAAAAAGTCTACCTCCAAATTCAACAAATATGTTGTCAATAAGAAACTCCAGCATACTGATCATTTGTTCCTCTGTGTAGAATGTTTTACCTTTTTGTTCACAATTAACAAAATATGCCGTATGTTATCCCAAAGCTGGGAACAGTATATCTAACAATATATTATAATATGTTCCTGCCCAAAGTAACAAATTTATAGCGTTTGCTACCATTTTTATATTGAAAAGCATTGTGGATTATTTCTTTTAGACGATTTTTCAATTTCACTTGTATACAGGGTTGAAAAATCAAAAGTTTTGATAGAATTAATTTCAGAGAGAGATCGAGATTTAAAATTATCCAGAAGTTCTTTAGAGTTTTTTAGAATCCACATATTGTTAATACCACTACGCGAGTAAACAGTTTCACAATATTTGTGAAGACCCTCTTTCACTGCGGACAGAATTTTTGTCAATCTAATGGACAATTCCTTTGTAGAACATGTAGATGAGCCGGCAATGTGAAGTTGTTTGTATGGAATTTTGTGAAGCTCAGGTGTCCAATACAAACAAGGTAAGTCATCTGAGTGTCAGTAGAAAAAAATGTAACTTGATATTGAATATTGTTTGATCATAGTGTCGTCTAGTTGGTTTAGATAAGGACATAGTAAATTCTCCCTTATTTGGAAATTAAGTTTCTTCTTCTTCTTCCTCATCATATTAGTTTGTAAAACTTGCATGTTTTTGTTTGTTTGTCAAAAAGGTTCCAGTTACCAACTTAAGCTAACTTAGATAGTGCTCTTTTAGATAGATAATTGGTTTCAGTATTAAGGTATATGAGGGTATGGATGAGGGGTCCTTCATTTCTGTATCCTTTAATTTTTTTGCTCATTATTTTTTATATTTGAAAATAATGGCTATTTTGTAATTACTTGATAACTGTATTTTGGACATTGTTCTTTTCTGTAATCAGTATATTTTTACCCAATTCTATAATTTTTGAAGTTGTTCTTTATAAATTTAGCACCCCATTATTCTCTATAGAAGTGTAGTAATAATTTTTGTTGCTTTTTAGATATACTCTGAAAAGTTTAAATGAACAATATGCATGTATGAAGATATAATTATGACAATAACAGACTTTTGTATATTTTTTTCAATGAATGGCAGATCTAAGATAGTTTCTGTTAAAATTCACAACTTTCATAGTCTGGGCACAATTAAGATTTTGCCATATTGTATAGACCTCTAGATTTCTTGGTTGTTTTTGTTTTTTCACTGACTAGCGTATACCCTACATCTTTGTTTTATTAAAATCTAGTATACCTTAATTTATTTAAGATTGTTCACAGTTCCTGAATGCAAACTCAAAGTACTTATCGGCTAAATCATGCAATGCTCCTCTCCAGCATATATTGGTGGTTACACTTAAACAATACACAGGCAAATTTTGCTCACGTGAATTTCAAATGAATCTTACGTGAAATTCACGTGAAAAATTTTACGTCAGAAATTCACATCAAACGAGCTATATATAATACATGAAACTCACATGAAATTTCATATGAATCTCACGTGAAATTTTTCACGTCAATTTCACGTGAACTTTACAAAAACAAAATTGGTATTTTCATGGTTTTAATTAAATTTAAAAAATTTAAATGTAATTTAATAACTTTTTTTTCAAAATTTTCAAGAGTTTCACATGAGATTCACGGGAAACTCACATAAACTGATTTCACGTGAGTTTCACGTATAAGCTCGTTTGAGGTGAAATTCACGTGAATTTAACGCGAGATTCACATGAATTTAAACTCACGTGAAATTAATGTGAGTGAAATGTCCCTGACCATAGGATGACACGAACTTGTACAGTGACGAAAACAAACTGTCTACCTAACTGTTTTTGGTTTTGAAGAAATGAGTTATTTGTTAAACATTTTCATAGGGAACGTCTTTAACCAAAATGAATTAATTTGTAATCGAAGGAATATACAGCTTTTCTTCTGTTGCAAAAAGGATAGTTGGTGCAACTACTATATGAAAGAAAGAACAATGACCTTGCTCTTAAAGAGATTTTGGCACTTTTTGACCAGTTCCATATGTAGCACTCCTTTTCTCTTAAAAATGTAAGAATTTGATCACAGATTTAATCCTGGGAAAATTTGGATTGAAATCAACAAATAAAAGTATTTAATAGTTCCTATTTCCTTTTCATAAAGTATATTCAATACGAATACGGGCTTCTACAAAAATCAGTTAAATGATGTGTTATATTGGCAATATATTCGAATCTCCACATAGAAATGGCACATTCAAGTTGGAAGAAATAAGCTGTAACCTTTGAACTACAATTAGTCATGTTTTGTTATATATTGTCATTCGATTAAGGCTAACAGACAAATCAAAACCCTATCTGGAGGTATCTTTTCAGTATTCCCTTGCGACTCCGAGTATTTGAGTATCGTGATTAATTTAAAAGAGTAGAGCAACTATAAGTAGAAATTTCTATTTGGAGAACATGGCTCTTGCTATTTGTTTTTACACTACGATACATGAATGAAAAACAGACCTATCAAGATCTGTCCGAGATATGACGAACTCATTTGCATTAATTTGCTTTTATTTCTCAATACACTTAAATAACAGTTGTGAAAGGATTCTGATTATCGCCTCTTGTTTTGTTTGTTTTGTTCCATTCAATAAATATTTTCATTATAAATATATGTATATATAACGTGTAAAATTAATTGTGTAGTTAGAAACAGTCTGTTCCTGGTACTAAACGGCCAATGTTTCTTAGTCCCTCTTCATCAAAGTCATCACCTATGCCCTTGGAATACACTTGGATACCATAAGATTCTACTCTTTCCGCCTGAGCGTTTGTTGCCACTGGATGTGTGCACTTCCCGTCTGTGACAACGATACCAATTTTTCCGATCTTTTCGTCATATCCTTGTTTGATTAAAAGTAAGAGAAAAAAATAGTCGTGAGAATATGGACTTATTAAGATATTTTGTGTTCGTTCTAAAATATATACTATTATTTATTATAAACATATATCCTACATCATTTTAACCTTTTCACCGTTCTTTAATAGTACAACATTCAAGTGTGCAAACAATTACTGAGTTTTGTATAAAGTTTTCAAGCTAAGTATGTTAGTATAAGGACGAACTAATAATAATTAAAAATGCACCATAAATGCAGAACCAATTTTATCTTAAAAGTTTATCCAACAAAAACAACAGCAGTAATGATAGTTTAAAGATTCCGGAAACATCTGTTCAAAATTCCTTACTATGAATGTTTATTCTATTGGAAAGGGCGTAAAAATAAAATAATAATTGTAAATCGTACCACATCTTTTTATTTTTACATTGGTAATGTTTGTCGAACTTTCCTGTAAACACATTTTTTATACGATCGATTTTTTGGTATTCGGACCAGATCATCGGAAAGCTCATAAACGGCGGCAGACTTTTCTAGATTTCTTGGCGGAGGTAAGGGGAGTTGTAAGGCTATACAATTATATGTATATGAATAAAGATCTGGGTAAATGCCTATGAAACATCGATCAAACGTTATAAACAAAGTACACCAATACATTTATTTTCTTTAGTGATTATTTTTTTGCTCTAGAGCATCTCGTCAAATTCCTATGTGATTTGTTGAAGACATTTTCAAAATTACAGATATCTCATTTCGTGCAGGTACTTTAATTTAAAAAAAATCGATTCGATAATTACAGAGTGACATGACAAAAATATGAAAAAACTAAGTTTCAGTCATTCGTAATACTTTTATGAATGTTACCTCTCTGATTAGTTACAATCATGGTGTTTTATATTGTTTTATGATTTCTAGTTTGCATCTTCTCTTATACAAGATGGTTTGTATAATATTTTCTCGATAGCTGTTATACACTTGTCCGGGAATTACATTTAGCCCGATAATTTACTCTTACGAAATACTCTTATCCTGGAAATTTCATTTTTATCAAAAAAATATACTTACAAGTATTAACAAGCGGTTCTATTATTTGAGATCGTAAGTTATATTGATGAATTGTATTTTTTATGCATTTACTATTAATTTAGTTACAAATTCATTCAACTAATACCGAAATAAGAATCATAGCTGCCGAGATCTAAAATGATGTCTCCCATGTATCTGTTACCCTTTAGAAACTTGAAATAGGAACCAGCTCTAGTTCGCGCTATTTCCGAAGTCCGTTATCAAGATGAAGTTTTCAATAATATTGATGTTGTTTAACTTTTTACTATTTCTTCTGTTGAAAAATGTCAACACTCACAGAAAGGAAAAAGAAAAAGTATGTATTAACTATTTGTGGCTATTTTTTAATTGATAAAAAGCTTGTACACACAATTTTAATCATCATAGTGCAATTAATATGCCGAAATCTTTTTAACATACAAAATTCTTTCATGTCAAAACAATTAAATCCAAATGATAAAGAGATAAACAAGAAACATTTTTTTTAAACTTATACCGCTCCAACCATAACCCAACTTACCCTATTTGATTATATTGACATGTTCTCAAATACAGAAAATATAGTGTGAGGGTTCAAGAAAAAACTTTAAGGTTTGTCGAGGAAGAAAAAATTCGTAAGATATCTTAAGTTTAAATAGGTAATTGTTCTAAACCTCATAACTCATTTAATCTATGATTTTGAACATCAAACTCTTACATTTATATGACAATGGGACGATAATTTTATTTTGCGAGGGTGTAAAAGGGGGAGGATTAAAATTTTTGTAACTTAAAACTTCATTCTTTGTGGATAAGAGAATAGGTGTGCATACGTTTGTAACAAATCTAACACAGGTGATCCCACAATATCTTATACTCTATATTTCAATTTTGCCGGTGATTAAACATTTGTAGTAATTATTCAATCGGAAAGTACAGCATCAAATACTGTACAGCTACACAAACATTATCACAAATCAAATTTGAATATTACTGATCCGACAGAAATGAAAAAATATCATATTTTTTTGTTTTTGTTCTGGGATTTTATAATTCTATTTAGGGGTTACACCGTGTATACATATAATACATAAAAAAAAAAGAAGAGCGGATCGATTGGTTTGAGCGTGCTCGTATTTAAATGAAAATCTGGTAAGCTCATACTAGTATATTATTTATTTTTCCCCTTCTCAATAACTCTACAATATGAGTTTACAAATACGACCGATTTATTTTAATTAAAAAAGTGTTTTCTCATTTAAATGGATAATTTGATAATATATTGGACCTTCGTATTTTCCTGGAATAAAATTCAAGTAATTTAATTGATTATTTTATACACTTACAGTGTATACAAAAAAATCTTGAGCTATACTCTAAAGGTACCACCGCTCTAAGCCCTCTTTGTTTGTTTTAATGTATCGAAATAAGCAGTATATGCAACTGAACCAACCATTACAAAATTAATAAATCTGTCAACATTCAGTCATTACCGTCTCCTCGGACTGCGGTTTTCTTACTACCTGATTGGAAGATATTACTGACGCTGTAATAATCAAAGTTCTTTGATTGGTTGGGACAATTCAAACCTAGTAAATGTCTTTTAATCCCGTAGAGTGTCGGATCTGAACTCTTTAATTTAGTAAATAGATTTGCCTGGTTACCAATCATGCATATCGTACCAGTACAGCACAGGTAACACTTATCTATAATAGCCGAATCTCCTGAAGATCTGTAAACACACACGTGATTATTTCAATCCAGTCGCTCATTGTTACGTACATTTTATACGTGAAAACATAAGAAAACTTTTAGGAAAATGTTTTTTTCTTAGGTTATATTTATTTATACTCAGTAAGATAATCTAAAGGCAACACAAACATTTTAAAACGGAGATATCAAATAATTTCTTTTCGATTAATATTAATTTACACGAGAACTTTTATCTCAGGGGGCGGGGGCGTCGGTACTTCGACCTTTCTATTGCAGGGATGAGCAGCTGAGACATCTAATACCCCACCCTTTATATATATATATATATATATATATATATATATTGAATGATAAAAGAACATACATGTAGTTACCCTAGCTAATATATATTTTTTACAATAAGTATATATACCTGCACATAGCTATCATTGTTACGCTATTTCATGGGGGAGATACTAGTAAATAGATTTGACAAATATCTTAAACATTTACGAAAGTGATTTTAGAGACATATATACACAATCTCTGGTGATTTAATTGCACCTGTAAAAAAAATTATCGACATCTTATTAGTTTCAGATTCAATCATCAACCTTGTCTTATATTTCACCTAAATTTCTCGACCTCATGCAATATCATGAAGCTTCAAATAGTGATCTATCCCAGCGACTCATCCATAATCCATTACATAATAAGTGCCCCCGCACACACCCCAAGATCGTTGGGCTAAGTTGGATGTTGTCTAGATCTACCTAGCTAGCTCTTCCTAGCAAGATAGCAGACGTTGAAGAACAGAAGACTAAAATATATCTAAAAGGGAATATAAGAAGAACAAAATACTACTCTCAGACGATAAAAGCAATTATACATGTATGCTAACATATTTTAAAGGAATGTTTGATTTCTATGAATGATTTTTAAGGAGATGTGAAGTATACATAATTAATTTAGACAGCAACCCAATTAAGCAACAAACAAAACGTGACAATTTACTTCTAAAGTTCAATCTACGGTCTTCTTCAATGGACATGTCATTACAACATTTTAAAGTTTTTTTATCCTCCCAAGTCTAACTTTAATATATAGAATAGTTGTGAATATGTGAGCCACAATTTGTTCCTGTGAAAAAAGTTCCAGGTGAACAAATATCACAGGAAATATATTTTGGGAGAACTTTTTTCACAGATAATTTCTATATGATTTGTTCCATCTCTATAAAATAAGTTCCACAATTTACCTGGTGAAATAAGTTCTGGGTTTGTGAAATTTGTTCCTTACCTAGTGAAATACGTTCTGGGTTTGTGAGATTTGTTCCTAACCTGGTGAAATAAGTTCCTTGTCTGTGAAATATGTTCCACTAGTTATACAAGTTATCTTTAATACTGAGCATTGTTATCAGTGAGTTTAAAGTTATAATTCAAGTACATTATAAAAACATGTATTAAATTGATAATGTAATAAATAAAAGGTGTAAACATCCAATATGAATTCTGTGGAGTAAAGCAAAATGTTTAATTACATTATCCATAAAAAAAATATCCAAATGACAATAATTTAATGAGTCAGAAAAGCGAAGAATAAGAAAAATCCATCAGAAAATTTTTATAGATCAATCATTTATTTATGAAATATAATATGCAATTCAACATATGTTACTTCATATCAGAATTTGTAGAAAAAAATGAAATAGTGTGTTTTAAATATTTATCACAGTTGTTATCATAGTTGTGCATTTGTTTTTTAATCATATTATCTACGTACAATATACATGATATATATGCTGACGTAATTTGAATTTCTAAAAGATTTACCTTATTTTGAATGTTTTCGTGTTGTTTAAAGACTTCAATGTTGAGTATTAAATTTGTCAGGTACGACTATAGAATGTTTTGCTTAATATAAAGTTAATGCATCATGTTAATCTATAACACCCGAAACTTATTTAACATTTAGTAAACAAATTAGTTCCGGAACAAATTTTACAGTGCTGGAACATATTTCCTAATAATATATATTCCGGGTATAAATTTTCTGTGATATAAATTCCGGTGGAACATATTTCCCATGAAATAAGTTCCGGTGGAACAAATGTCACGCCGGAACAATTTGTTTTTTACAAAAAATAATTCAGATATTACTTGAAGCTATGAGTAGGGTCAGGAACAAACTTCTAATGTTTGTTTTGGGGTTTATTGACTATTTATACTAGACATGCTATATGAGAGAAAGAGAAATAAAGAAAATTA